ATGCTGCCTCCTTCCTCCCTGACGCCTGGCCTACTTTGTCCAGATTTCAGAAAGTGATAGAAGGGTCACATTTACTCTACTTTAATATTGATAATTAAGTTAATTTATATAAGATGTTTTTATGATGGTAAAGTCCAAAGACTAATGTATTTAAGAATAATTCCCAGCAGAATAGCTGGTGAATTATAATAGTATGTGGTGATGATATCCCGTTTTCTTTAGACGGTAATTCCACTACAAGTTACGTTTTCTATGGGTAACTTGTTGGTAATACAGCTATTATCTGTATGATTATTAAATGGTGTCGGATTTTCCGACAGTGGTGATCATGTAATCTCTAACTCTCCTGTCTCCCAGTAACGTGAGGTTTAATTCCCGTAGTCTCTCCTCGTAGCTCATACCCCTCAGTTCGGATACTAGTCTGGTGGCAAACCTTTGAACCTTTTCCAGTTTAGTCTTATCCTTGACTAGATATGGACTCCATGCTGGGGCTGCATACTCCAGGATTGGTCTGACATATGTGGTATACAAAGTTCTGAAAGATTCCTTACACAAGTTTCTAAAGGCCGTTCTTATGCTAGCCAACCTGGCATATGCCACTGATGTTATCCTCTTGATATGAGCTTCAGGGGACAGGTCTGGCGTGATATCAACTCCCAGGTCTCTCTCTCTCTCTCTCTCTCTCTGACTCCTGAAGTATCTCCTTATCTGGTTGCCTGCTCCCTACACCTATCTTCATTACATTGCATTTGCTTGGGTTAAACTCTAACAACCATTTGTTCGACCATTCCTGCAGCTTGTCCAGGTCGTATTGAAGCCTCAAGCTGTCCTCCTCTGTCCTAATCCTTCTCATAATTTTTGCGTCTTCAGCAAACATTGAGAGGAATGAGTCTATACCCTCTGGGAGATCATTTACATATATCAGAAACATATATCATATATCAGTGTGTGTGTCTGTGTGTGTGTGTGTGCTCACCTATTTTTGTCTGCAGGATCGAGCATTGACTCTTGGATCCCGCTTTTCGAGCATCGGTTGTTTACAGCAATGACTCCGGTCCTATTTCCCTATCATACCTGGTTTTAAAATTATGAATAGTATTTGCTTCCACAACCTGTTCCTTAAGTGCATTACATTATTCCACTATTCTCACGCTAAAAGAAAACTTCCTAACATCTCTGTGACTCATCTGAGTTTCCACCTTCCACCCATGTACCCTCGTTCTGTTACTATTCCGTGTGAACATTTCGTCTATATCCACTCCGTCAACCCTCCCTGAATATTTTATACGTTCTTATCATGTCCCCCCTCTCCTTTCTTCTTTCAAGTGTCGTAAGGCACAGTTCCTTCAGGCGCTCCTCATACCCTGTCCCTCGTAACTCTGGGACGAGTCTCGTTACAAACCTCTGAACCTTTTCCAGTTTCATTATATGCATCTTCAGATGGGACTCCATGATGAGGCAGCACATTCTAAGACTGTCCTCACGTAGGCAGTGTAAAGCGCCCTAAATGCCTCCTTACTTAGGTTTCTGAATGATGTTCTAACTTTTGCCAGTGTAGAGTACGCTGCTGTCATTATCCTGTTTATATGTGCCACAGAAGATAGATTAGGTGTTACGTCCACGCCCAGGTCTCTTTCTCGCGTTGTCACAGGTAGGCAGTTCGCCTTCATTGTGTACTGTCCCTTTGGTCTCCTAGCACCTAGTCCCATTTACATAACTTTACATTTCCTCGTGTTGAACTCCAGTAGCCATTTATCTGACCATCTCTGCAACCTGTTCAGGTCCTCTTGGAGTATCCTGCAATCCTCATCTGTCACAACTCTTCTCATCAACTTTGCGTCATCCGCGAACATCGACATGTAGGACTCTACTCCTGTAAACATGTCGTTAACATATATTAGAAATATAATTGGTCCCAGCACCGATCCTTGAGGTACTCCACTCGTTACTGTTCGCCAGTCCGACTTCTCGCCCCTTACCGTAACTCTTTGGCTCCTTCCTGTTAGGTAGTTCCTTATCCATGCTAGGACCTTTCCCCCCACCCCCGCCTGCCTCTCGAGCTTGAACAGCAGTCTCATGTGCGGTACTGAATCAAAGGCTGTTAGATTTGTTCAAACACATAACGTTCTCCAAGTGTGCAACTAGTCGTAGCCTAATTATTCTTTTAAGCATTTTACAGGGGATACTTGTCAGTGATACAGGTCTATAGTTAAGAGCTTCCTCCCTATCGCCTGTCTTCTTCCAGCAACTGGACAATTCTTCCGACATAAGTGACTCCTTAAAGATCATTGCCAGAGGCACGCTGAGGGCCTGCACTGCCTCGTTTAGTATCCACGGTGATACTTTGTCTGGTCCAACCGCTTTATTTACATCCAGTGTTGTCAACTGTTGCATTACCTCCTCTGCTGTCACCTCTATATCTGATAGTCTAGGGCAATCTCTTTTAACAATGGGAGCCGCTCAGGCTCGACTGTGAACACCTGAGCGTATGTGTGTGTGTGTGTTCCTACTCGGTTGTGGGAACACACACACACACACACACACACACACACACAAACACACACACACACGCCCCTCCCTAAAGTGTCATTGAATAAAGTACACCTCATACACCCATCACTGTACTCCTTATACACCCATCACTGTACTCCTTATACACCCATCACTGTACACCTCATACACCCATCACTGTACACCTCATACACCCATCACTGTACACATCATACACCCATCACTGTACACATCATACACCCATCACCGTACACCTCATACACCCATCACTGTACACATCACACACCCATCACTGTACACATCATACACCCATCACTGTACACCTCATACACCCATCACTGTACACCTCATACACCCATCACCGTACACCTCATACACCCATCACTGTACACATCATACACCCATCACTGTACACCTCATACACCCATCACCGTACACCTCATACACCCATCACTGTACACCTCATACACCCATCACTGTACACATCATACACCCATCACTGTACACCTCATACACCCATCACTGTACACCTCATACACCCATCACTGTACACCTCATACACCCATCACTGTACACATCATACACCCATCACTGTACACATCATACACCCATCACTGTACACATCATACACCCATCACTGTACACCTCATACACCCATCACTGTACACATCATACACCCATCACTGTACACCTCATACACCCATCACCATACACCTCATACACCCATCACCGTACACCTCATACACCCATCACTGTACACCTCATACACCCATCACCGTACACCTCATACACCCATCACTGTACACCTCATACACCCATCACTGTACACCTCACACACCCATCACTGTACACCTCATACACCCATCACTGTACACCTCATACACCCATCACTGTACACCTCATACACCCATCACTGTACACCTCATACACCCATCACCGTACACCTCATATACCCATCACTGTACACCTCATACACCCATCACTGTACACCTCTTACACCCATCACTGTACACCTCATACACCCATCACTGTACACCTCATACACCCATCACTGTACACCTCATACACCCATCACTGTACACCTCATACACCCATCACTGTACACCTCTTACACCCATCACTGTACACCTCATACACCCATCACTGTACACCTCATACACCCATCACTGTACACCTCATACCCCCATCACTGTACACATCATACACCCATCACTGTACACCTCATACACCCATCACTGTACACTTCATACACCCATCACCGTACACCTCATACACCCATCACTGTACACCTCATACACCCATCACTGTACACCTCATACACCCTTCACTGTACACCTCATACACCCATCACCGTACACCTCATACACCCATCACTGTACACATCATACACCCATCACTGTACACATCATACACCCATCACTGTACACATCATACACCCATCACTGTACACCTCATACACCCATCACTGTGCACCTCATACACCCATCACCGTACACCTCATACACCCATCACTGTACACCTCATACACCCATCACTGTACACCTCTTACACCCATCACTGTACACCTCATACACCCATCACTGTACACCTCATACACCCATCACTGTACACCTCTTACACCCATCACTGTACACCTCATACACCCATCACTGTACACCTCATACACCCATCACTGTACACCTCATACTCCCATCACTGTACACCTCATACACCCATCACTGTACACCTCATACACCCATCACTGTACACCTCTTACACCCATCACTGTACACCTCATACACCCATCACTGTGAGGACACCAACACCACCATAACATGCGGTCAGCATCACTGCACCTGTTAAGGACTGTGTGTGTACAGGACTCAGCACATGAGTCAGGGTGCTGAGTCCACCCGGCCAGGGCCACTCACCCTCCTACACATCTCGTCGCTTCTAGCTCCAATGTGCACTACGGCAAAAAAGTGTCGTACTACAAAATGACAGCGGCTGGCGAAAGTGACGTACTGTCCCGTTTTCTGTTTTGGGTCCTCTGGGTTACTGTGTTAGATTAGGAAAGGACAGTTTAAATTAACAGTTTTCATGACGTTTTGAAACGTTAGGAGAATTTGCTGTCTTCCTAACCTACCACAGGACCCGAAACTTCCTAACCTACCACAGGACCCGAAACTTCCTAACCTACCACAGGACCCGAAACTTCCTAACCTACTACAGGACCCGAAACTTCCTAACCTACCACAGGACCCGAAACTTCCTAACCTACCACAGGGCCCGAAACTTCCTAACCTACCACAGGACCCGAAACTTCCTAACCTACCACAGGACCCGAAACTTCCTAACTTACCACAGGACCCGAAACTTCCTAACCTACCACAGGACCCGAAACTTGCCGTTTGAGCCCATCTCATTTGGAAGCTAATTTTTTTTCCATTTTCTATTACAGCCATTTTAGGCTGTAGCGCATACGAGGGAAAAGCGCCGGTGTCACGTACCTGGGTAAACTCAGTGGAGCCGATTAGGCCGTGTTCGCTGGCGGCCCAGGCGGAGAACACCACCTGGCGCTGGGTCCCATCCGTTAGGTAGCTCTTGGCGAAGGCGTCGCTGAGGGCCAGGAGCGCCCCCAAGCCCGCCCCAGGGCTGGTGTACAGGGACCCGTAGTGGCTGCCCACCATCACCACCCTGCCACACACCACTACATCAGTACACATCTACAACATCACCCTCCCACCCCACACACACCACTACATCAGTAAACATCTACAACATCACCCTCCCACCCCACACACACACCACTACATCAGTAAACATCTACAACATCACCCTCCCACCACACACACACCACTACATCAGTAAACATCTACAACATCACCCTCCCACCCTGCCACACACCACTACATCAGTAAACATCTACAACATCACCCTCCCACCCCACACACACTACATCACCCTGCCACACACACACACCACAACATCACCCCTCCCCCCCCCTCTTGCCTGCCATCCCCCCCCCCCCCCTCTGCCATCACCCTGCCACCACACACACACACACACACACACACACACACACACACACACACACACACACACACACACACACACACACACACACACACACACACATACACATACACACACACACACACACACAGCAGCAGCATAGAGTGTGACTACGACTCGCATTTTGTCTTTTTCTCGAATTTATACCAAAATATCATGCATACTTATGCATACATGCTTACTAACATAAAAGTTCCCTGTTCCACAAATCAATATCCTGTCTCCAAACTAGTATTTATTCATATCCATTGTTCTATTATGTTTAACCTTATCTTTTAATACCTTATAAATATAATGCTTAATATATCCATTTAATCATATCACCCTTAAATCTTTGGTTTTCTAGAGAAAATAATATAACTTGTTTTCTAATCTCTAATATCATGTATTCTACAATATCCGCATTCCAACGAATTAATTGCAAATTTACAATAAAAGTTATACTAGGATATAATTAGCAACATACATAAATATCACATACATATTTGCACAAAACTGCACATTTTAACCAAATAATTCATATACACTCACACAAACTCGTAGGGGCCTCGTAGCTTGGTGGATTACGCGCAGGACTCGTAATTCTGTGGTGCGGGTTCGATTCCCGCACGAGGCAGAAACAAATGGGCAAAGTTTCTTTCACCCTGAATGCCTCTGTTACCTAGCAGTAAATAGGTACCTGGGTGTTAGTCAGCTGTCACGGGCTGCTTCCTGGGGGTGGAGGCCTGGTCGAGGACCGGGCCGCGGGACACTAAAGCCCCGAAATCATCTCAAGATAACCTCAAGATAACCTCAAACTCCTAACCATGTACAACACTGTCACGAAATGCATATATACTTGCACAAATCAAATGCACTTTCACAAAAATCAAACTACACAAAAGTCACATTTTCAGAAATTGGAAACTCGCCAGCACAAGACAATGCATACACAATACTCACTTGTACAAACTAAGAAACGTGTATACTCCAATATGTCTATCATACTCATCTATCAAGCTGTCATTGCAATCAATCTAAGCTACCTATGTGCTTTAATAGACCTACAATTTTCTCTCATCTTTTATTTTTTTCCTTGCTATGTAACTGTTATCATTTTTATAAATTTTGCAAGTATTTACCTACTTAATTTTTTTTTTTTTTTTTTTTTTTTTTGAGATATATATACAAGAGTTGTTACATTCTTGTACAGCCACTAGTACGCGTAGCGTTTCGGGCAAGTCCTTAATCCTATGGTCCCTGGAATACGATCCCCTGCCGCGAAGAATGGTTTTTTCATCCAAGTACACATTTTACTGTTGCGTTAAACAGAGGCTACAGTTAAGGAATTGCGCCCAGTAAATCCTCCCCGGCCAGGATACGAACCCATGACATAGCGCTCGCGGAACGCCAGGCGAGTGTCTTACCACTACACCACGGAGACTGTATTTTCTTAGAATAAGGACCTGGCCGAAACGCTGCGCGTACTAGTGGCTTTACAAGAATGTAAATACTATGCTATTTATCCTCACAATCCCAATGTACCTTCTTGTATATAAATAAATAAATAAATAAATAAATAAATAAATAAATAAATAAATAAATAAATAAATAAATAAATGTCATCTATATATCATAGTCTATCCTTCCATTACGAACACTAACTATATACAGCTCTAATCCGAATAGGGAAATTTGTGCTATTTTCAGAACAATCTAGCTCATTTGCCCCTAACATCTTCCATATCCCATCCTAGGTTATCTTCAGGTTATCTTGAGATGATTTCGGGGCTTTAGTGTCCCCGCGGCCCGGTTCTCGACCAAGCCTCCACCCCCAGGAAGCAGCCCGTGACAGCTGACTAACACCCAGGTACCTATTTTACTGCTAGGTAACAGGGGGGCATAGGGTCAAAGAAACTCTGCCCATTGTTTCTCGCCGGCGCCCGGGATCGACCCCGGGACCACAGAATCACAAGTCCAGTGTGCTGTCCGCTCGGCCGACCGGCTCCCACATCACAATAGCTCACTATATAGTTGAAAAAATGCTACACTGTATCATACATAAAGTAATGTTATTCGCCATTGTCATACATCCAAAATCCTATTAGAAATTTTAAGTTTTAAAATAATCACTTAACTTAGCCTACTCTAATCGTACCCAATCGATCGTAATCTAACCTAACTTGGGCTAACCTAGCTAATCCTAAAATAACCTACGCTAAAGTTTATTAAATTTAACCAATTATTTTTAATATATCCTCTCCAAATTCTACGTAATTTATCCTATTTTAAATAAAATCGAACCAAATTTATCCAAATTGAATCTTATTATATCCAAATTTACCCTAATACTTACACAATCAAAGGTAAATCTAAATAAATATAACCAAATTTCACATAACTCATCCAAGTTTAACCCATTTTATTTAACTATCCAATCCAAATATACCTTAATCCTAACACATTCAAAGCTGAATTTAACTCAATTTAACCACGTAGTAAGTAATTATCAGAAGGCACCTAGCCGGGAAGGCTATAAATTTAACCAAATATATCCTATATCATCATAATTTATCCTAAACATATTACTCAAAATCAAATTTAACTAAAGATAACCTATCTTATCCAAATTTATCGGCGAGAAATTGGAGAAATGCAGTGTTGCTTAGAGGTAACAACAGCTTACTTGGACTCGTCAACTGCGGGAAGTGTTGCGTGGATGTTCTTAACTGTTTCCTGTTGCATGACGTTGTTGACGGCGAGGGTGAGGTTAGTGACGTTGGCCTCGGGGCGCCAGGTGCCCCCCAGGCGGTACACCGTGTCCAGGCCGCCCCGCCACCCCTCGGGCATCTCCGGGCCGCCCACCAGCTCCAGCAGGGTCTGCGCCACCTCAGCACTCACACTCTGCACGGGGATCTTGGGTATAGGCTGGGACGACCGCCCGCTCCTGAGGGTCAGACAGGTGAGGGTAAGGCGAGCCTCGAAGCCTCGTACTCAGCTACTCTTCACTCACGGGGTTTGGTCAACTTTAATTATTATTACGATCAACCATGAATAAGATGAATGAGTTAACTGTAGTCATTAATAATATCATTGAATAATCAACAAGGACTGTAGGAAATCCGGACCAACATGGCAGGAATAAGGCAAGTGAACATGTTCGCCCATGGTCAAGGTTCAGGGAGGTTCCTACCAGCAGGTGTGGGTCGAGGCTCAGGGGGGACAGGGGTCAGGGGCAGGGAGTGGTGCTCACCTATAGATGTGGTCGATACTGGGGAGGAAGGGTGTGGCAGGATCCCCAGGGAAGATACTGAGTGTGTCCCAGATTACTCCGTCGTCAGGAAGTCCTGTGCCATTGGGATAGGGGGCTCCGCCCCCTCGTGGTCCCCTCATGTCTGCTGGGTCAGGGTAGAGCAGCACACCCCCAGCACCCGCCTGCTCTGCGTTGTGTACCTGGGGAGGGAGAGGCAGGTTAACTGTGCTCAGTAGAGGGGGGAGGCAGGATAACTGTGGTGGGGGAAGACAGAGTGTGGACTCCCACTGGTTTTGTGGTCGCCTGATGTACCTGTTCACCTAAAAATAAATAGGTACCTGGAAACAAGTCGAAAATTGTGGAATGCATCTTGGGAAAGATCATGGATAGAGAAGCTGTAAGAAGAGAGCAGTACATAGTAGAACAACATGAACATCATAGCAGCATGCTGTAAGCCACAGGCGGACCAAGACAATGGAAAAGTCACACCTCTGTAGAAGTTAACCAGGAGGACAGGTCACCGGTCACTGAGTCACCAGGTGGTCAGAGTTGATGCTGTCATGATAATTTTTTTATTTTTTTTGAGATATATACAAGAGTTGTTACATTCTTGTACAGCCACTAGTACGCGTAGCGTTTCGGGCTGGTCCCTGGAATACGATCCCCTGCCGCGAAGAATCGTTTTTTCATCCAAGTACACATTTTACTGTTGCGTTAAACAGAGGCTACAGTTAAGGAATTGCGCCCAGTAAATCCTCCCCGGCCAGGATACGAACCCATGACATAGCGCTCGCGGAACGCCAGGCGAGTGTGTTACCACTACACCACGGAGACTGTGATAATCTACAGGGATTAGCCCCTCCACATTAAATACAAACCCTCATGTTCAGCTGGGGAGCTGGAGATCAGGGAAATAGGACTGTAGAGTGGGAGAAGGCCAGGAGGACGGTGTGAGTGGACACTGGGAGAGAACATCATCTCCAGGAGAACTGTGGAATTAACACCATTCGAGTAAGTACGGCTCTCTTGAACTAAAGCACCTCATCATTCATTTATTCTTTGCCTCTATATAGTTAGGTTATAGAATATAACTATAGAATATAACGAATTCTATAATTCTATAATTCTATAATTCTATAACTATAGAATATAAGGTTATAGAATATAACTAACTATATAGAATATAGTTAGGAAGTGTCTATTTAATTGTTTCCAATAGGGTCATATTGTCAAGTGTCATTAAGTGTGTATTAATGGTTCCTTGTCTTAGTGATATTGAGCCTACCGTCCCCTTTGCCCTAGTGACCTAGTGTCCTTAATTATCCCGTACTCCTCCCCCCGTCCGTCCCTTGTTGAGGTGTTAGTATTGGGTGTATCCCGCCTTATTCTTGTGTACTTTATTGTTCCCAAGTGGTCAGGATTATTCCAGTGACAGGCCAGGATCCTTGTACCGTTCACTTGTCCCCTACACCTGTCCTGGTAGGATTATACCATCTACAAGTCCTACGACTCTCACTGCGGTCCCCTGTCCGGTAACTCAGGGTGGTGGCAGCGTTACTCGGTAACTCATACAAAGGCTGTGACTACTAATATTTTTATCTCGCTCTCCCTCCCTCGCCCTCGCTTTCCCTCACTCGCCCTCGCTCTCCCTCACTCGCCCTCGCTCTCCCTCACTCGCCCTCGCTCTCCCTCACTCCCCACCAAACATTTTCACGTTTTCTAAACGTGCTAAAACGACATTTCTTTGTTTTGGGAACGTTTTCAATTACGTTTAATATTAATACATGTTTTGAGAATTTCTAAAGACGAGTATAAAACGTGAGGTCAACACGTTTTAATAAAAAGTGTTTTAGATGTTATGATATAACGTTTAGGAGCAAAGGTTTTTAAAACGTTCATTCTAATTATTAATTATGGGAATTATTAGGTATAATTATCTTTATTGAATTTAGAAAGAGAGAAGGAGAAGAGAGTGTGAGAGACGGCGAGAGAGGAGAGAGATACAAAGAGTAGAAAGACAAAGAGGAGAGAGAGAGGGGAGAAAAGAGAAAGAGAGAGAGAGAGAGAGAGAGAGAGAGAGAGAGAGAGAGAGAGAGAGAGAGAGAGAGAGAGAGAGAGAGAGAGAGAGAGAGAGAGAGAGAGAGAGAGAGAGAGAGAGAGAGAGAGAGAGAGAGAGAGAGAGAGAGAGAGAGAGAGAGAGAGAGAGAGAGAGAGAGAGAGAGAGAGAGAGAGAGAGAGAGACAGAGACAGGGACAGAGAGGGGGGGGGGGAAGAAGAAAAAAAAGGAGGTGAAGAAGAAAAGGAGGAGGGAAGAGAGAAGGGAGAGGGAGACAGAGATAAGGTAAAAAGAGGAGAGTGAGGGACGGGAATAAAGGGAAATACTAATCAAAATCTAACAAATTAAACCTTAAGTCTTATAAACCTTCTTAACCCAGGACCGTTGTCAAGTCCATTTCCGACAAGTCAAGGACCGTTGTAAAGTCCATGACCGTTGTCAAGTCCATTTCCGTGAAGTCCAGGACCGTTGTCAAGTCCAGGACAGTTGTCAAGTCCAGGACCGTCGTCAAGTCCAGGACCGTTGTCAAGTCCATTTCCGACAAGTCAAGGACCGTTGTAAAGTCCATGACCGTTGTCAAGTCCATTTCCGTGAAGTCCAGGACCGTTGTCAAGTCCAGGACAGTTGTCAAGTCCAGGACCGTCGTCAAGTCCATTTCCGACGTGTCCAGGACCGTCGTTAAGTCCAGGTTCGTCGTCAAGTCCATTTCCGAGAAGTCCAGGACCGTTGTCAAGTCCAGGTCCGTCGTCAAGTCCATTTCCGACAAGTCCAGGACCGTTGTAAAGTCCATGACCGTTGTCAAGTCCATTTCCGACAAGTCCAGGACCGTTGTCAAGTCCAGGACAGTTGTCAAGTCCAGGTCCGTCGTCAAGTCCATTTCCGACAAGTCCAGGACCGTTGTAAAGTCCATGACCGTTGTCAAGTCCATTTCCGTCGTCAAGTCCATTTCCGACAAGTCCAGGACCGTTGTCAAGTCCATGACCGTTGTCAAGTCGATTTCCGCCGTCAAGTCCAAGACCGTTGTCAAGTCCATTTCCGCCGTCAAATCCAGGACCGTTGTCAGTCTATGGTCAGTATAAGGCAGTGTAGAACAAGCGGGTAATGGTCAGTATAAGGCAGTGTAGAACAAGCGGGTAATGGTCAGTATAAGGCAGTGTAGAACAAGCGGGAAATGGTCAGTATAAGGCAGTGTAGAACAAGCGGGTAATGGTCAGTATAAGGCAGTGTAGAACAAGCGGGTAATGGTCAATATAAGGCAGTGTAGAACAAGCGGGTAATGGTCAGTATAAGGCAGAGTAGAACAAGCGGGTAATGGTCAGTATAAGGCAGTGTCGAACAAGCGGGTAATGGTCAGTATAAGGCAGAGTAGAACAAGCGGGTAATGGTCAGTATAAGGCAGAGTAGAACAAGCGAGTAATGGTCAGTATAAGGCAGTGTAGAACAAGCGGGTAATGGTCAGTATAAGGCAGTGTAGAACAAGCGGGTAATGGTCAGTATAAGGCAGAGTAGAACAAGCGGGTAATGGTCAGTATAAGGCAGAGTAGAACAAGCGGGTAATGGTCAGTATAAGGCAGAGTAGAACAAGCGGGTAATGGTCAGTATAAGGCAGAGTAGAACAAGCGGGTAATGGTCAGTATAAGACAGAGTAGAACAAGCGGGTAATGGTCAGTATAAGGCAGAGTAGAACAAGCGGGTAATGGTCAGTATAAGACAGAGTAGAACAAGCGGGTAATGGTCAGTATAAGGCAGAGTAGAACAAGCGGGTAATGGTCAGTATAAGGCAGAGTAGAACAAGCGAGTAATGGTCAGTATAAGACAGAGTAGAACAAGCGGGTAATGGTCAGTATAAGACAGAGTAGAACAAGCGGGTAATGGTCAGTATAAGGCAGTGTAGAACAAGCGGGTAATGGTCAGTATAAGGCAGAGTAGAACAAGCGAGTAATGGTCAGTATAAGACAGAGTAGAACAAGCGGGTAATGGTCAGTATAAGACAGAGTAGAACAAGCGGGTAATGGTCAGTATAAGACAGAGTAGAACAAGCGGGTAATGGTCAGTATAAGACAGAGTAGAACAAGCGGGTAATGGTCAGTATAAGACAGAGTAGAACAAGCGGGTAATGGTCAGTATAAGACAGTAGAACAAGCGGGTAATGGTCAGTATAAGACAGAGTAGAACAAGCGGGTAATGGTCAGTATAAGACAGAGTAGAACAAGCGGGTAATGGTCAGTATAAGACAGAGTAGAACAAGCGGGTAATGGTCAGTATAAGGCAGTGTAGAACAAGCGGGTAATGGTCAGTATAAGACAGAGTAGAACAAGCGGGTAATGGTCAGTATAAGACAGTGTAGAACAAGCGGGTAATGGTCAGTATAAGACAGAGTAGAACAAGCGGGTAATGGTCAGTATAAGGCAGAGTAGAACAAGCGGGTAATGGTCAGTATAAGACAGAGTAGAACAAGCGGGTAATGGACAGTATAAGGCAGAGTAGAACAAGCGGGTAATGGTCAGTATAAGGCAGTGTAGAACAAGCGGGTAATGGTCAGTATAAGGCAGTGTAGAACAAGCGGGTAATGGTCAGTATAAGGCAGTGTAGAACAAGCGGGTAATGGTCAGTATAAGGCAGTGTAGAACAAGCGGGTAATGGTCAGTATAAGGCAGTGTAGAACAAGCGGGTAATGGTCAGTATAAGGCAGTGTAGAACAAGCGGGTAATGGTCAGTATAAGGCAGTGTAGAACAAGCGGGTAATGGTCAGTATAAGGCAGAGTAGAACAAGCGGGTAATGGTCAGTATAAGGCAGTGTAGAACAAGCGGGTAATGGTCAGTATAAGACAGAGTAGAACAAGCGGGTAATGGTCAGTATAAGGCAGTGTAGAACAAGCGGGTAATGGTCAGTATAAGACAGAGTAGAACAAGCGGGTAATGGTCAATATAAGACAGAGTAGAACAAGCGAGTAATGGTCAGTATAAGGCAGTGTAGAACAAGCGGGTAATGGTCAGTACCTAACTTAATCTAACTTTGTCCAAGGTGTTGTCACTGCTTTACCATTTACCTAATGTTCTCTCATTCATATAATTTCCTCAGTAATCAGTCAAGTCTCCATGCACTTATGCAAGCATCTACCTCAGTATCATTATTAAATCTTA